AATGTCGAAGTAGTGAGAAGTTGACCATTAAAATAATGTAAAACCTGTTTAATGCTTCTTTTCTGATAGAAAAAAATTCATTGTTTCAATTCTCTCTTATACCATCTATAGCATTTGGTATTATTATTATTATTATTCTATTCACGGGAGATCTAAATCTCTTGGGGAAATTATGCGTAAATTTGTCTGATAGTTACGGATTAAAATTTTATTAACAAAGAGAATTATTAGGTCAAAACTGCTAAAGAGCATATTTATTGACTGCTATTGCTCGATATCGATCGTCTTACATGTATGATACTACATATTATGAATAATAGTCCCTACTCACTAATATGAGTTTTAATTATATCAATTCTTATAAATATTGCCAAATCGTATGTTTTTCTGAAATATTTAAATTATATTATCGAGTTACTTCTTGTGATTTCAGCTTGTCAGAATAGAAAAAAAGATTATCTTTTCAACAATGAAGAGATTATCTAAAGACAGTACAAACAATTAATTATCAATCCGAGAGACTAAACCAGTATTGGTCGTGAAAAATCCACACCGGTTTCATCTCTGACATATACAACTAATACCTATTCAAAATATCATTAATGAATATGAATCACTATAAATTATGACAACATTTCAGATTATTGTCATTTCCAGAAAAACCAAAAGAAGACTCATGCTTTAAAAAATAGATCAAAAATCTGACAAAACAATTTTTAATAGGACATAGGCATAGTCACAACACACTGCAACAGATAATGGTATCATAGCAAAATTTACACCTAAAAGTTTTCTCTTTCTACATGAACCATGATTTTAACCTAAAAAAAGGATGTATAGAAAAAATTTTACTCATTTTTTATGTTTTTACGAACTCAGTCGTCATCTTCTATGCTTTCAAGAATTCACAAAACTCTTGAGCAAAAAAAAACATACCATAGTTCATTTTGATTTACACTAATAAACTTCACATGAACAATAAGCTTTAATTTGGTATAAAATTCATTGTTTATCCTGTTTACAGATAGAACTTAATTTGCCGAGAAAAACTCTTCTTTTTTTAAAAATCTCTACGACTTCATTTATAGATTTGTTTCTATCTACAAAATTATAGTATAACAATACGGATGTTGTTCCGGAACACTTCTTTCTTCCGTTTTTCTACTGATGATTTATATACATGTATAATTTTACAAAAGTCATGTTTCATCTTCTAATAGAATACTCAATTACTCAATATTGTCATCTTTACTATTTCCTTGAGTATGTACTTTTTATCAAATAATTTTTATGAAGACTTAAAAAACAAACTCTTAATATACGATACACAAAATTGAAAAGATATATTTCAAACTGCTATTTTAAAATTGAATTTCAATTTCACTCGAAAATATCTCTATTGTAATTAATTAATATTTGTTCTAAATTTTACTTTTTCAAATAAAGAATTTAAACACAGAAGACATGTTCTATTTTCTAAAGAAATACATCTCTAAGTTGACTCAAAATGTCTTATTGGATATTATTTTATAGCTATACATTTTATCAAGTATTTTTATTAAAATAGAAATCGTTAAGTTAAATCATTACTTCTAATACGAGAAATTCTTAATCTCATTTAAAAATGAAAACAATCAAAAGATGGCATTGTTGAACAACATTGTCATACTGTTAAAAAACTATTTATAATGAAAATAGTCTATACAAAGAGATAATGTTACTGAATATTTATTTAAATCTTCAATAGAACAATACTAGAAATAGATCGTAAAAGAACATATTGATATTTATTAATTAAAGACGAAAAAACAAGGAAGAAGACAAACACACAAAAAAGAATTCATTTTATATTTATGTTTGCAAGTTTTATTCTTTATCTCGAACAAGATCTTTGTTTAATTAAACATTGTGGTTTTGTATTTTCATCAGCTGTTTGATCTTCAATATTGTCATTTAATGGTGTAGAACTACTAGAAGGTGAACAATGATTTGCTTCAGGTATTGCTAAAGGTGATTGAGGTGATGTTGAATTTGAACAACAACGTTCATCAAATGATGGTGAATGTAATTTGTCATGATTTGATGAACATGATGATTGAAGTAAATGTGAAAATGGATTAAAATAAAGTAATGGAAGTGGAGAAGGAAGTGGAGCTGGTGGTGGTGGTGGTGCACTATAAACCCGTTTATCCGATCGATGAGAACTAGCTGAACTACAACTACTGCTCTTGCTACTTGTACTACCACCGATTGGTAATTGAACAGTTTGATTTCGATTATGATCTAATGATGATGATGAAGTTGATGACATTTTTCTTGTACTTAATTTATGTTCAGCAGCTTCAGCATTCGAAATATTTTCTGTTTTTTTCCATTTTGTACGACGATTTTGAAACCTAGAAAAAAAGACAAACTTTTAAAATTATATTAATAAGGAATTCTTTTTTTTATCCCCATTTGGCTTTTATCTTGTCCTTTTACTACACACACAATAATCCTTGTTGAAATTATCATTACTTAAATGATTTTATAATTAGCATTACCAATGAATAAACATGAAAAAGTAGTTGACTATATTAAATATTTCTAGGCCCTCACAAAGACAAAGAAAAAATTATCTTGTTCTAGTAAATTCGTGTCTAGACAAAGTTATGTGTATCTATATTATTTTGATCAATCATATTTTTCATTTTTTTTTTATTTCGTTTGTGAAACATTTTATTATGTCATATAACAAAGCTTATTCATCTAAATACTGAGCATGGTTAAATGTAATGCTCAGATTATGAATTCATTAAAAATTAAAAAACAAACATTTTTTCAATGCACTGTCATAATCATTTATTTTAATAATTTCACAAAGTAATCATCAAACTATTTATATCAAAATTTTAATTAATTCTATTCAATAGCAGATTTACAAATTAGAATGTTTCTAATTTTTTACTCTATATGTAATCAATGTTTCATTATGAAATGAACAAATGACGTCGCTTGTCATTCTATTCTCGTATATATTTTTTCCAACAGTAAGTTCATTAACGTTGAAAAAACAGTGATAAGTGTTACTAATTTGTTTTTTGACTTACCAAATTTTAACTTGTGTTTCAGTAACAGTAAGTAATGTAGCCATTTCAGCACGTTCAGTTGATGATAAATATTTTTTATCTTCAAATTTTTTTTCAAGCTCAAATATTTGTTTACCCGTAAATGTAGTTCGTGCTTTTTTCTTTTTTTTCTTTTGTGTATTTATTATTAAATCACCATCATCACTGTTCGAAACTGATCGACAACGTTCTAAAATAAGAAAAAGATCAAAACTGATTTTCATGACAAAGTTTTCTTTTTTCAAAATCAAATACAATAAAAGAAAAAGAGAAACAAAACCTTTATGATTTTTTGTTGAACGTGAACATATATCATTTGTTGATGATGTTTTGGAATCAGCAAGTATATCATCAATATAAAAACGTGTTATACGATTATTTGTTGATGGACGATATTTGTCATTATGATGATATAAATGACGGTTTGATGTCATATTTAAAGATGAAAATGGCCATGATGATGAATACCGTTGATAAAGATCATTTGCTGACATTGGCATCGTTGACATGATTGAGAAAAAAAAATGTGTAAGTAAATCTGAAGATGACGAATATATAGAATATCAACTAATCATATTAAGCGATGGGCACTTTGTGCAAACGCGTTGGCTTTTACTTAGACGATTAACAAATTATCAGATGTGTATACAAAGATAAGATAGCCTCGAGGAATATTGAGAGATAGAGAGAAGAAAAAAAAAAGGAAAGATGGAAGAAATCATCATTTGATACCTACCGGTTCTTTCTATGATTGGCTAATCTATTCAATATATTGACGAACCAATCGATTAACAAGCAATTAATATACCTGTCTCTTATCATAAAAACTTACTTCTCTTTATATAAATATCTATATATATATATATATATATGTGTGCGTGTGTATGTCTCTGTCAAAAAAATCTCTCTTCTCATTTAGCTTGATTTCTTCCGCTGCATCCTTTACCGTCAAATTCAGTCATGTGTGAGTAGTGAGTAGTAGCATCAGAAAGGAATCACCGTCACCATCATCTCTCATCATCTTTTCCTTTTCTGACTGCTAAACTCACGCGCGTCGAATTACAATTGTCAGGTGTACAAGAGAGAGAGAGAGAAGAGAAAAATGATGATAATGCTCCGTTTATTTTCAACGAGCATCAAGCGGAAAGTTGGAGAAGCTTAATGGCTACTGCGCTTTCCTATGTAACAACGACTAATTGAGAGTCGGATGATGATAATGATGATCATTTCAAATTATCATTCATGCGGAGTAATATATATATATCGATGAAGATATCCAAAAACGAAAAAGAATGTTTTACTAATGATAATTGATACTATAGTATATTCATTTGTCCCTATGTTTATATCTATATATATATAATCATCGATCAAACAAAAAGTTGTTATTTGACTTAATAAAAGAAAAAGCCATTAGGATAATGAAGTTGAGAGTACAGAAAATAAGAAAAAACATTGAGATTAGTTAAATCTAATTTTATTACTATTCTAAGTCATTTTTACTTAACTATTATCAATCTGCGTGTATACACGTATAGGCAGGTGTATAAAGTGGGTAATCTTCTTCCACTTATTTATTCTTCTTTAACATTACTGTCTTCCAACTCATCATCGTCCTCATCATCATCATCAGTGTGCCTATGTTATTTCTCTCTGTCTTTTTCTTCTTTTCTTTTTTTAACTCACAAGGCACAATCAATTTTAGAGGAAGTATGAAAGAGTTGTTACTCGAGCAGCAATTAGAGACATTAAATAGGTTCCGCTCTGGCACTCTACGACGTTGTCATCATCGAATGACAGACAGACAGAGACAAATCAGTGACATAAAGGAAAAAAAAACAGAAAAAGAAGATATCTAATTCTAATTTTCATACATGTATGCTAAGGTTCAAGCTTCTCACTCATTATTTTACTTTATTCTCATTCTCTATTATCTTATTATAATTCAAGTAATTCTCAAAAACGATCATATAGTCAAAATGACAAGTGAATATATCATAAGAATAACTATTATATAGGTTTTTTATTTCAAAAAACAAAACTATAAAATGATAATGAGAAGTTATGAATAACAAAAAGAAGAAGAAGAAGAAGACAACTTGAAAGACATGAATATAAACTAAATCAGTGGTCTATTAAGTTTTTTTCTTCTTGTTATATATTAATTATTACTATTAGCCTTAATTTAAGAAGATTTTTAAAATAATAACTATTAGTCTAATGATTAATAAAATAAACGTAGCATATTAAGCTTTTCAATGATCATATATATTTCCTTGTTTAAGACAGACTATCAAAAGCAAAAAGAATAGTATTTAATAACTCTTACTTGTTCTTAGTTGTTTACGTTTATATAAATAAATAAATAAATGAAAGATATTCTTGTTTTTCTTTAATCGATAATAACATAAAAATGGAATTCCAACTGTGTGAAATCCATTAGTAAATATGCAAAGAATCTTGAAATGTATACGATCAATTGATATGACGAATGGATGGATTCTTTTTTAGAATGATGAATCTATTTGTACTTCGTTTTTTTTTATCAATTCTCATTTAACTCATCATATAGACAGAAGGTTTGTTTATGATTAACTTGAATTGATCAAGATATCTATGAATGATGCCAACTATCTCTCTTCCTAAGAAAGTTCGATTAATAGAAGCAAGAAAAAGAAGAAGAAGAAGAAGAAGAAAATGATGCAAGCCATTTAGTGTGAATAAGATAATAGACGATAAATATCAATCGCTTTGACCATGTCAAACATGTATGTGTATATCAATCTCTATCGATAGAGCAAAGTAGCAGCATATCAACAATCATATCATCTGGAGCTAATCATTATTGATCAGTTGTCGGTACGATTATTGAAAGAAAAAAATAAGTAATGTAAGTGAGCAATATTAGCCATACCGAAGGCTATTCTTTGAAGACAGAATGTCGATGCACTTTACTATGCCGACATTCGACGGATTATTTCATTTATACCATATGGAATGATTTGTTGTCTTTTGTCGACTTTGTGTTTCTGTATCAATCATGGAATTCAATTTCTTTTTCTCTTAAAAAGCAAATGATCTTTAAGATGAATTTCAATTGTTGTTCTGTCGATAAAAGTTTTTCTTTTTTTTTTTTTTGTATTTTGTTGCTTATGATTAATACGTGTCAATCTTATTATTGTCAATTACTTTAAAATATTAAAATTGTTGTGACAAGAAGAACAGTCTGACATATTGAAACAATTCTTTTTCTTCGAAAGAAATATATGTGATTAGTGTATGAATATTATTTGTGAAAGTGACAGATTAAATACCACATTTAAGGATGTACTAATATGTAATAACTTGCAATTTAATAAATTGTTTTGGATTCAAAATATTAATTTAGTTTTTTTCTTCATTGATTTATCGAATATAAGAAGATGTCAAAAATGCGAAATTTTCACACATATTTCTCAATTGATTATATTTCTTTTCAGGTGTATAGAGTTGACTAAGAAAAGCCTCTCTAATGACTTGTTTATTAAAGAAAATTTAGAAAGAAAAGGTAAAAAAATTTATATTGTTTTAAGAATATACTTTTTGATAACAAAATTGTGAATAATTTTTTTCCATCTCTTGTGGTTGAACATTTTACAGACTTTTTTCTAATTCTTTAGACAAAATTCTTTTTGCAAAACTTCATTTAGAATGAAGTTTTTGAAAGAACTTTCTCTGAAGAATAAGACAATAGGGTGTAAAACGTTTGAACGCATGAAGGAGAAAAAAAGTATTCACAAAATTGTTATTAAAAACCGCTTTTTTTACAATAATATGAAATTTCATATTTCCTTCAAATTGTCTTTCTAAGTTTTCTTCGAAAAAAGTCGTTAAACTAGATTCTTCTAAGCAACTCGATGCACTCTATGCAGCTAAGTAAAAATAGTATATCGAAAAAAACTTTGTGAAATTTTTCAATATCCGTTGTATTACGTGAAGAACCAACAAATGTTATTTTTTTTTAAGAGAGTAAGAACAAATAATTTCTAATTAGTATGAATTTACAAGTTTTTATAGACAAATAAATGATAGATTCCAGCATGTTCAATTTTATACGATTGTAAATAAAATTTATTGAAAGAAAAATATCAACATTTCTATTGTAATAAATCATTCATGTTATTTAATATTATTAAAATATGACAAAATGTTGGTAAATTAGCTGATTTATTTGAAAAACTTTCAAATATTATAATGCATGAGTGAAAATATTGTTTTGTACCAGTGGAATCCGTAATAACAATATAATATATCTCGAGAAGATACACAATACATCTAAGAAATCTATCTTAGTAGCAATTTTTTGCTAAGGTGGATTTCGTCGATGTATTTTTTGTATTTTCTTGGGACGACAATTTTGCCATGATGAATTTTGTGTTTTTTATATATGAAAAATGTCAATTGTCAACTTCAAATACACACATAGTTTAATTGCCGTTCAATGTGATATTTCTTATAAGAACACAAATAAATAATATTGCAGTTATTCATTCTTGAAATTTCATTTTGATGATTCAGAGATCAATTCATTACAATTTTAAATGGTTTTTTAATGTTCTTATATTGTGTATTCTATTGAGAGAAATAAATCGTCATAATCTATTTTATCGTGATCGGTCTTTCATTTATTTTTTATCTCTATCTTTTAAATAGATGCACGTATCAAACAAATTTTAAGAAATATAAATATGCAGATAGAAAGATTTTTAATACGCAAACGAAATAATTATTCATGACAATCACATTACATATTACAGAAATTGAATAAATCCAATACTATATATTCAAAGTCAATATGTATTGTGAATATGTTCTACTGTTAAATCTACTTGAGAAAATACTAAAATATTATATTGATTTTATTGAAAGTAGAACAAAAAAGATTTATTCTATCCAAATATAAACTAACTGAATATATGTATTGACATGTTTTTGTAGTAAATACTTAGAATAGTAAATGTAGTTTATTAGTTAAATAAAATAAATTATCCTTTTCCATGAAATCTTGATGTCATCAATAGATAACATATGTTTAATAATTCATAATTGACAATAAATCCGGAATAAATATATATCTTGTTGAGTTGCATATTAGATTCGATAAATTTATTGATTAAGTGCTTTTTTCTTTTCGAGTAAGATTCTTTCTGCTTGATCAATTATCATGCAATAATATTTATCCTGTATTCGGTCAACAACTAGTCTCCTGAGCATGTCGACACGATTGTATCGTATCTGGAAGAATATTTATCAGACACGCACATATACTCATGCGTGCTTTTGTGTGTATATATATATATATATGGGTGCGAATGAGAAAACAGAACACAAAAAAAACTTTTTCTATGTCAACATCCATTAGCACTAATAGATTCCTTTTCTTTTTATGAAGTCAACGTCATTGACGTTTTTGCTTCAGAATCTTTTTTTTTCTTCTGTCATTTACCACTCTTGACTTGCTTGTTAAATAACACAAGTGTGTTTGCACTCGTCGTGCTCGTTTCGACTGTGCATTTCTTTTTTCTTTATATTGAACATCAACATTCGCGGACGATCGATCAAACCAAATAATACGAGTGACGGAACCTAATCGAGAGAATAAAAACAACAAGAATATATATTAACCGATCTTGTAGTAATAGTAAATTATTTCTTTGTGTATGTCAAGAAAAAAAGAAGAATACTAGGACTGCTACTCTCTCTTAGTAACAATCGGTCTTTCCTGATTTACTTTGATGTTCACCCGCTGTGACTTTTTCAATCTATTTTTATTTGTGACCTTTCAACGTCTATATCTAATTATTATATCTATCTATCTATCTATCCATCTATCCATCTATCTATCTATCTAGACCATGTATTGATATTCTCTTGGATTGCTTCTTTCTTTCTTCTGCTTCCTGTAATTCTTCCATTTTGAATGACATTTGATAAGACATGGACGATGGCAACAGCCTGATAATAATGATGATACCACCATGTAATATCGTTGGTTGACATTCATCTCCTCCTTCGTAGTACAAACAAGGACAAGATCATATGGATCTTTTTGCAGTGATACTGATTACTATAACTGCAGTAACAATTTGTGGGATTTGTCTATTTATTTTTGTCTGTGCCTTCCAACCAAAATTTTTACGGTAACTATGAAATATTTACTAAGATATATTTATTTCCTTTTTTCTCTTCATACTTATTATTTAGTAAATTACATGGAAAATCAAATAGAACGCATCAAGACTCGGATTCGAATATATCATTCGATGAAAATGATGATCATCTTAGTGTAAAAAGTCTTGATTTAGCCTTTGAATCAAATAATTTAACAAAAGAAAACTCGTCACTAACAAATGGTCGAGATAAAACTGCTTATTTAAAATCCTTAGAACGAAGTCTTCGAACAGGACGACGAATACAAGATGATGAAGACAACGAAAATAATAACAAAACAAAATCTTATTCAAATCCATTGAATTGTCTTCGTCACTTTATTAACAAACATATACGTCGAAGAACATCTGATATACCCGAAAATACAGAGTTATAATACAAAAAACAACGAAAATAATTATTTTTCTTGACAACAACATAATCGTTCTTTTAAACCCATATTGAAGCTATTTAAAATGATAGCTATATTACAAATATTTTAACCAAATAAATTAAATTGAAAATATATTTACCAAGTGATAATCCAGAAGCAAGTTCAAGAACTAATATAAAATGTCCGAATGCAAACTAAATTGCAGCAATTATGATTTTATCCGATATGGTAAATACTTACTTTCCGACAAATGAACATATTACGGAAAATTTAAACATGCAACTTTGTTGTGAACGACATGGAAAAGTGAAATTTTTTATTTTGTTTTTTGTCGTATTTTAATAAAAAATTACTATAGGATTGATTAGTTATATTTTGACATTTTGCTTTGAGATATGAAGGAAGTCAAGGTCATAAACATTTTTCTTTAAATAAAAATCCTTCAAACATTTTTTTTTTTCAGAACTACAAGCATATATTTAAATCTTTGGGTTGATACATCTAGCAAATAGAATAACATCATCAACTACAGTTACAATTGAATGGAAACATGGAAATTATTCGAATAGTTCAATAGCGATTGTAGCTTGCTCTACACATTTAATGAAAAATGCTACAAAAAAAATTGCTTCAATTGTTCTTATCTAGGTTCAATAACAAACAAAGACTAACTTAATTTTTATTCTATTCTAACAATTAGAAGAGTATTTTATTTTTCAACGGTACAAAAAACCGACTATCAGAACGTAATGTTCGTCGCACTGGTGTATCGTTTGACTGATTTGTTTCTTTCAACGGAAAAGATGATTCCTAATGTACAAAAAATGCAAAATTCAAGCAATAAGTTTTTTTTTTCATTTTTTTATACATGGCTAGATAGTACTTAATGAACTGGGTAAGAATATGCATTTTATTGTTTTTTTAAACCTTTCTGATAAAGAAGAGTTTAGTTTTTTCGATAGTTCTGAACGGTCTACTCTTTTTCTAAAAGTACCTTCTTTATAGTAAAAAATTGATAGGTTCTTTTTGCGATTTAAAAATTTTTTTATTTGATATGCGCTGTAAAACGTATATGTTTACAATTGCCATGAAAAACTGAGTCTGTGAGACTAATCTTTAGAAATTACTCTCACAGACTAAGTTTTTCACGGCAATTGTAAACACATCAGTTTTACAATCCTCATAAAATAGAAAATCTTTTTTTAAATAAAAAAAATCGATCAGTTTATTTAATATGAAAAACGTACTTTTCGGGAAAATGTACCATTCAAGATTATCGAAAAAAAAAATGTTGCCCAAATTTTCCAATTTTTTCACCGTATCGTCACTTGCATTGTTTTTCATAAGATATAAAACCAAATAGAATATGTTATTCGAACCAGCATCAAATGAATTACAAATATATAAATAGACCTTTCTTCCCTTAGATAAAACTAAGCTTTTTTTTTTATCAAGAAAATGACAAAATTATGTTTTTGACACGTCAAATACCCTATTGAGTAATGAAAACCTTTCGTTCGAACTAAAATAAACATCATATCTGCAATCAGCAAAAAAAATCGAGTTAGATGACATATTTTGTAATACAATTAATTTTCTTAAAAAAACCTTCTCTGTGACCCCCTACAGAAAAAAATATATTAAAAAAGTGCTGCAGGGAATCACAGACAACTTTTTCAAAGAATATTATTAGTACTAGAAAACACGTCATCTATGTCAATCTTGGACGTTGATTACAGATACGATGTTTATTTTGTCAGAACAAAAAACTTCCAACACTCAATAAGCACATTTGCCAGGTCAAAAATGTCAATCTGGCATTCCTTAATATAAATCTTTAGTTTTCTATCAGTCAGTGAAGAAAGCTTGTGTAAAAATTCTATTCATACATTTGTGACTCTTTTGATGCTGGCTTGAATAGTGGATTATATTTGATTTCATATTTAGTCCAAAAAAGAACCTATTTAGATATTACAATCTATAGTAGCGACATGAGTGAATCATTCTGAGAAAACAATAGCTATAATTATTATGACCGAATACAAACACAGGCAATTCTTGTTTCTTAACAACGCGGGGATTTTCCTAAACAATAGAATGATCTCAGTATTTTGAATTTTTTCATGTTCAATAAAAGAACAAGAAATTTTTGTTGCGTACATTTTTTTATACAGTTCATGAGCTCTATCTCATTTCCTATAAATCATCGAGAACACAAATTTAGTCTAATTTTGAATTTCCGCCACATTATCTGTCTTATTTTTTTCTTGATGTCTCATCAGAAATAGAGATAAACGATTGTCGTTAAACAAGTTTTGCGAACATAATGCAGTTATATTATGATTTTCCAATCGATATATAATAGCATTATTCAAATTTCCATCAATTTTCATTGCAATTTAGGGCTGTATTACGGCATTTAAATAAATCTGTATTTTGCAAATTTTTATATTCTAAATAAATGTGTCATCCATTGAAATTATTTAATATTGTATGTATTGAAATAGATCTGATGGGAAACAAACTAGAATGTCAATCATTAGCTATGACATGACTTTTAATTAAGTATAGGATGCCGTTTCTCATTTATACATCAACCCAGTAACCTTTGTCATGGCAAAGAAAAACAAAAATATTTGATTAATACTGTTTTTGTTCCCATTTCAGTAACTTTATGCCTGCATATCATATTCTTTGAGAGCACACATTTTTTCCGACTCAAAATTTTCAGATATTCTATTTTTGTGATTTTATTTGTCCTATATAGGCTTTGAACTGTCGTCTATCTACTAAACCTATTGCAAGAATTTATATACTAATGTAAAAACCAACAAATTTCAGCAGATGGAAGATTTTCTCTGAAAACCTTGTCGTAATTTTCATATTACTTTACTCTTAGCTGAAAAATGAAACTTCAAAAACAAAAAAACAAATGGTGAAAAATTGCCCCCGTTTCTCAAACACAGTACATCTCATTGACTTCAAACTTTTAGGTAATAATAATTTTTTGTTTAAAATATTAAAAAATCTTGATCTTTCCAAGGCTCTCGAAAAGAATTCTAGTCGAAGAAACAAGTATTCTTGAGGGTACTATGAATGTTCTTATTCATATAGAATCATATGAGAAGAAACAAAAATCCATTAATCATATTAAACAATATATAGTACTTGTAAAAAACATATGTCATTTCTATATCACGTATTATGGTTGAAAAAGAAAGCGATAAGGATCGCTGATTTTTAACCTTTAAGACCTCATTTATCTCCTTCAGTGAATCATTCAAGAAAATTTACTCTATAATTAATTTTGCTCTACTCATCGAGGTCTGTCTACCCGGAAAGTTTCAAATTTTTTCTCATGAGTCGCCTAGAAAAGGAAGGATACCCTGCAGCTAATATAATATGATAATAACAATGAAAAGAACATTAATAAAAACCATGTATCTCTGTCAATAATAAATACAAACAAAAAAAAAACAAAATCTAATATAAACAAAGCATGTACAGTCACTTTTTCAAATAATCACAAGAAAGTTATGTGTCACTTGTATAAATCTTATTATATAGAATCGATTTAATGTGTCATCTTTAATCTATTATAATATATCTTTTATACAATATATTTATATATATATTATATTCGATAGAAATAAAAAATACTTCATCTTTCTTTTGTTTTCCGCTTTAAAAAAAGCACACCCAAGCACAGACATGAGCAGAAAAAAAAAGAAAGAGGAAAAAAAAGAAGAAAAGGCAAAAGCGAAAATCTTTAACAGTGGGCAGGTTGATGTAGAAGACAAGAAAAATGAAAATTCAAGTACAATGATACACACTCAATAACAACAAACAAACAAAAAATTCAAAGAGAAAGATAGAAATGACGCATTTTATTATCCACAGTGCCGATTGACAAAAAGAAAAGAAAAAACAGAGAGACAGAAAAAGAAAAATAAGGAAAAACAGTGATCGTGTGCAGTTTTTTTTTGTTTTTGTCCGACGTCAAAAATTCACTGTACGAAAAAGAAACAGAATCTAATCGACAACACTAATAAAATAAAAAATGACGAATTTTCTTATTATATATTGAAATTTTATCTTACGAGCCATAACTGTTCTTGAACAAATCATGCCATTTAATGAAAACTATTTTCTTGATTGTTTATTATTTGTCTGTCTTGTGCGACGATTAAAAAAGCAGCAACACCTAAACAATAATATTATATACAAATTCTTCATGCTTTTATTAGATGATTAAAAAATGTATTTCTTAGCAGCTAAATATATATATTCTGTATAATGTATACAATTGAACCTACGCAAGTGATGAAAACCATTTTTTCCAATATCTATAAAAAATATTAATTTTCCGTGCTTTGTTTAAAAATCATTACATAAAACCAAGAGTTTTGATTAATTATCTACGCCTAAATCTTACGTTTTACTAGTCGAATTTTGGTCATTCTGAAATAATTTTCCATCAAGATTTTTACGCCTAGAATAAATGTATGCACATGTATATTTATCATTCTTCTCTGTAGATTAAAACCCTTCACCGAAATCTCAAACGAGCGATCAAAACTAATAATAAATCATTTTTTTTTTCGTACTTACTTTGTATCACTAATAACTTCTGGATTCGGCAAAGATGATGATGTGACAATATGTGCATTTTCTCGATCACGACCAGCTCGTTCATTATCATCATCAGGAATATTAATCGGCTATGGATGAAAGAAAGAAAAGATATTACAATTGATTCAATTTAATATAAAAATTTAATAAAAGAAGAAGCGTTAGCCAATGACAACGATGAAAGGATATTTATTCATTCTGCAGACATTTAAGAAATTTCGAGGAAAGGAAAACAATATATAATAGGTTGACAGACGAGATTTATTCGAATATACCTGCATTGAGCCATGCACTTGTTGTGTTGATTGTGAAAGATGAGTATTTAAAAAGTTGGTCTGAGAGGGAGGGAGAAAAGTCTTTTTTTTAGTTTGTTTTATGTTATGCTTATTGATTGAATTAAACTTTTTTGTTTTACAATTATTTGTCCACTTACTTTATTGGTTGGTCGCGGTACTGGGCTGGATGGAACATTATGTTGATTTGTTGATTGATATTGAGATTTTCCATCAGTCTTTTAATAAGATAAATATTTTTTTTTAATAATAAAATGCAAATATTCACATACTCTATTTGCATACGGTTGTACTTTCTCTACCCAATCAAAATTATAATCACATACATAATTACGTGAATCCATCAAATCTTTAAACAATTTTCTTAGATATTCGTACTAAAAGAATAAGAAAAAAAAGCAAATAAATTTGTTTCTTGATTTGAACTTTAACTTGCATTGGGAGTTTCAAAAAAATCTAAATTTCGAACATATTTTAAATATTTACTAAATTCTTCTAGAAATATACAAAAAAAAAATTTATAAAAAAAATTGTTTCAGATTTTTATTGTTTTATTTACCAGGATGACTTTGACATAAAACATCAATATGAGTTGCACGTTTAGTATCACCAATTTTTTGATAACGTTCTTTTAATGTTTCAGCTTTTAAGCCTTGCCACTAAGAAAAAAAAACAAAAATAAAACATTCTTAGTTTATTTAAATTTATATATACTGCTGTGCACAGTTGATCATGAATCTAACTGATCATTCTGTTTTGCTAACATAGCAAGATAGTTTCTAGTGTGAGAGGGAGAGAAAGAAGCGGGTTGCGCGATTATTTTAGGACCTGGTCAGTCAGACAAATAATTTGAAGAAAAACGAAAATTTTTTAAGATTGGAAGCAGTACCCTTCAATATAGCCTAGTTTTCATAGCTTATCACCTCTCTATATCATCTATTTATTTTGCCGATTATAGCTAATGTACTTCAGTTTCGATTGATATTGATCATAAATCACACGCACTAATATCATGACATATCATGATTAAAAATTTTGCATTTTATCCTTGTGACCAAAAAATTACATTTTTTCAATAATGTTTTAGGTACAAGAAGCAAATGAAACTTTGTTAAAATATTTTTCTAAAGCTTCTTCACGTTGAAAAGCAAAGTACAAGATTCAACCATTTTTAGTCTGGCAGAAGAAATACACGACATAGACGACTGATAAATTACGAAAACCGTGCTATAATTTGACGAAAATTGTAATTCAATCGCTGGAAATTGTTTTGACATATTAGAAAAACAAGACGATTATTCAGGGGCGTCTGATCAATTTTAAACGCGCCATTGTACATCTACTCAGGTTTCCTATCGATAATATTATATCTCACATTCTCAACAAATATTCTTTCACGATGTCTTTGTACAACATGTAAAAAATAATATAAGAAAAAAGTAGTTATACTATTCATTGAAACTAATCGATTGATGATAGATTTTTAATTTCATTATGAAAGAATTAGTTTTATTATTGAAGCTTTTCATACCGGTAAACTACCACGTAAAAAATACATAAACATATGTCCTAATGCTTCAAGATCATCTCGACGACTTTGTTCTAAAATAATAATACAAATATATATTATTAAAATAAGAATAAATTTCTTACCTTTCCCGAGATGTGTATTAATACTCATGTATCTTGCTGTACCTAATAAAATTTCGAATATAGAAAAAAAAAAATTTCGTTTAATAAATCCAACTAACCAGTTAAACTTTTATGTTCACGAAATGGAATATGTCGACCAGTATCGGGATCAATGTATTCTTTGGCTAAGCCAAAATCAATAATATGTATAATATGTTGTTTTTTCGTCGACGAACGTCCAATAAGAAAATTTTCTGGTTTAACACTTCAAACAAAAAAATCATTGCTAAAAAAATCTTAATTTTTTTAAAATAAGATTTACTCTCGATAGATAAGATTTTTTGAATGAACATATTCCATACGAGTTATCTATTAAATTAAAGCGAAAAAATATTTATTAAACATTTGAGTATATTTTTTTTTGTATATATATATACCAATTGTATAGCAATCATAAGGACGGTTTTAAGTGAAAATTTTCGATCGCAATTATCAAACAGATCCTCCAATGATGGACCAAGTAATTCAACTACCAATGCATTATATTTACCACATGGTCCAAAATAATGTACTTGTGGAATACCCTCTATCAAGATAAACATAAATAATTTAACAAAAATTTTTCTTTTTTGTTCTTTGGTTTGTAACTAACCACTAATTCCAAGTTGTCGATAAAAACGATATTCAAGATGAAGTTGTGGTGCACGAGATTTCATCGGTTCCTTTAATATAAAAACAAAACATTAGTTCAAATAGAAAATAATTACTTTTGGTTTTTTTCAATTACTAGTTTAATTGCTACATGTTCATTATTATACAAATTTTTTCCTAAAAAACAAACGAAGAATAACAGCTTTTGTATTAAAATAGTTTTCTTTAACCTAATCGAATTTCTCCAAAATTTCCTGCACCTATTCGCTTTCCAACACGAAAATTGGGTCCAACCATAAGCATAGCATTTGGTCCTGAACTAGTTGTAACAGCGGCTGACGTCGAGGTTGTTGTTGTTTCATTAGATTTGTCTATTGCCATTAAATTATTATTAGCACCTACTGCTAAACCTGCTCCACGTGCTCCTGTACGTATATCACTTGGTATAATCGATACAGTTGATGCTTGTAATGCAGCACCAGATAAATGATTTCCATGTTGTTTTGAATTATTATGATTTATTGTCTCACTTTCGTCCATTCTTAACTAATATTAGTAAGAAACAAAAGTGATGACATCATATATTCTGAAAAGAAAAACGAAAAAAAAAGTTTTTTTGTTTTGTTTTTTTTCGAAATTAAAATCAAACTTTTAACAACAACCGACAGTGAATGTATCAAATTGACCATTGAAAGATTTTTGTTTTTATTATGATGATCATAAAAAAGCGAATCAATTATAGATGGTAGTATAAATTTAATAACGACATCTATTATCCATGATAAACTATTTTCTTTACCATTCAACGCTTAGCAACCAAGTACAAATGTAAATGTAAATGAAAGACACAATACAAGGAGAATATACAAAAGAAAATTAATTTATAAGACAAACATCAACTTGAAGAACAGTGATCGAGAGAGAAGAAACAGAAATTGTATCCTTCCAGTGACATTTTCTTTCTTGTCCATATAGTTTGCATAACGTGCTTACTTCTAGGAGTTAACAGTATGATTGACAATATTAATAAATTATCGAAAAATCTTGATGCAAATAAACAGCAACAACAACAACAACAACAACAGCAACAGCAAACAGCAGCATCAATTGTTAATTTAACTGATGATGGTGAGATATAGATTACAAAGGTTTTTATTTTATGACTTGATAAGAACGGAAGAAAACAAATAATACTTGTTGGGATATTGGTTAAGAGGTTGTTTTTTACATTTATGTAATCTAAATAATCATTCACTCATATTCATGAAATAAGTTTGTCATGCACAAAATATCTAATTTTCATTTCAATGAATTATTTATTGATTTCTACTTATTACAGAAAAAAAAGTTCGTTTATGTGTTACTCCTGACAACCATCATTTGATTTAGTTTAGACAAAACCATACAAAGACTGTTTTGATTCTTGCTAAACAACATTGATTGAGTTTGATTAAAACAAAAAAAAAAGAATTTTTTTTTCGCCCTACTGTTTATTTTTGGATATATGGAAATGAGAGAAAGTTTAATATTGAAACTAATCTTTGTTTCCTCAAAGAATACAGATATTTCTATATACGATCGTATTTACTATTCAGGTGACATATTCATTCGAATAATCTAATTTATTTTTTCAATAGTCTGTGTTATTTACTAGACCAACTTCGGATACAAACAATAAATTTAATTTCTATACTTCCTACAAATGATAATGAAGACATTGAAAATTGTTGGTCTTTAGTAAAAATGCAAAAACTTTTTTTTTCCATAAAGCATAGAATATGCAGAGAAAGTTGACTTGATAAATGATCTAAATTATTCTTATTGATTCATCTTGGATATTTAGATTAAAACTTATTACAATTTTTGTTTTTGAAAAGAATTTTAATGAACGGATTATTTCCATATGACTCATTATAATTAGAATTGTTAGCAAATCATATTTTTCCTGTTTTCTATTCTACAACTCAAAAAATCTTTAGCAACAAAGAGAAACATGGACGTATATGAAGATATTAATTGTTGTATTAAAATCAAACTGATTCATTGCTAGATGATTAAATCAATCTATTTATGTCTTGTATCATTGAAAAAAATAAATATTTCATTCCATATGTACAATTCTGATTCATTGAAGTAGAATGAAATATGCTGAAAAAAAAACAATTATACCTGTTTCATTTTTCTTCAAGAACTTTTTCTATTTTATTAAAGCAAAATATATGAAAAATAATTAATAATTTATTTATTTTTCTTTTTCGAATATTAGTTTTCGTTGCTTCTACTTGGTAGAACTCTTCACATATAACCACGCCAGTCTCATTTTTCTTCTGAAGAGGATGATAAGAGAACAAATCACTTGAAACTTACCAAAAAAAAAAAACATAGAAACTCAAGAGAATTAAATAACGAGAAAAAAAAAGTAAAAGACAAATTGTCATCACTTTGAAAAGAATGATGCCAAGAGAACGTTGTTTAATATTGAGGAATACGAAATCTGTTGAATCAGATTGTCAATCTTTTGAGATAAAATCATCACAGCGTAAGATAAAAATAAACATGAATGCATTATGAATATTATTCTTTTATCTCTTAGATGTTGTTAAAATTTGGGATGCAGTGTCATCCTATATCGAATCTTATATGAAACAATCAAAAGTAAAGTCATATTTCCGTATTATCGAATATAAGATTTCTTTGAGTAGGGTGTTACTATTCCAGGCTTTGGTACATTTACTTTTATACATAAACGTATTGATGTTGGAAATAATAAATATTTATTAATTCAACGACCTGTTTTTTCTTTTTCGGAAAAATTTGCCCAAACTCATTCATTAAAATTTACTCATTATCCTGTTAATGGTTCAATACCAGTACATCCATTAAATTATTCTTATATTCAAACACAATCAACATATACACGTGATCAGATTGAACAATGTGTTAAACATGTTTTACAAGTATTTAATCGTTCAGTAGCAGCACAACGAAATGTTGAATTTACATTTTCACGTATTGGAAAATTACAGATTCGAGATGGAAAAGTTAAAATGAGATTTTTTAAAGATTTTGTTAATGCAGTTGATGGTAATGGAGGAAATGGAGCAAAATATCTTTTTGATAATACGTGCAATGTAAAGAAGATATATTTAATTTTGAAAAAAAAAGAATGAAAATTTTGAATTATTCAGAGGCCACAAACATGTGATTCAGTTATGTCTGAACGAGAAGCAACAAGACCTCCAACAGCTTCGAATGTTGTTCTTCCACGGTAGATTCTTAAAAGTTTTTCTTTTCTCAAATCATTTATTTATATTATTTTCTTATAGACTTAATAGTCGGATTGGTAATCCAGCGATGCAAGCAATTCTAGAAGAAGATCATGATAATGATGAGCAACAAACTCATCGTGCAACATCCGTAAAACGACCACAACAACGAGGTAGTACAAAGCAAAATGCGAATAATTAATGAAAAAAAAACGAATCCCTTTTCTCTTCAATACAGATCCTAGTCCATGTAAGAACGATTTAAGTCGTTCATGTTCTCGAGGTGTTGATGTACGATTACCACCTCTTATTGAAATACTTGGAGGTAGAATATTCACTTTTAAAACACGCACTTTTATGCACTTGGTAGTATGTGCATTTCTTTCCTCTCCACATCACTAATAGATTGATTTTTGTTCGTTTGACATTTAGACAAGATTGAGTAAAAGAAAGTATTGTCTGCTTAATATTGTTCGGAAAATGTAATTACCGATCGAGCCAAAAGTAAAAAAAACGAAGAAGAGAAAAAGAAATATTTTTCTTTTGATTGCACTTGTGTTTAGTGATGAAGAATAATATTTTAAAAAAGAAATTTCTTCGGTGTCAATCGAGTTTTGGACGATTGAGTTATTTAAATGTATCTAATTTTCTATTAGAACCAACTGTTTCTGTGGCAACAACTACGCAACCATCAACAAATGTAGTAACAACAGTAGGAGTAACAAGTTCACCAGATGGAATTGTTCCTATAGCGTCACTTTTTTCATCATTGGATCTTGGTCAACCATCTACAACAATGAAACGAACAACAACACCTGTTATTCCAATAAAACGAACTGCTTCTTGTTATCAATCTGAACCAGACAAAGAATCAACAGCAACAGTGTAAGTTATTTAGAAAATAAAACATGTTTTTCATAAATAATACTGATGTATGAAACGTAAGATGATAAAGTTTTTACTTCAGTCAAAATAATGGCAAATATTTCAAAGTAGATTGATCGTTATGGAAGAAAATTTCTTTTCAAAGAGACAATCAATAAGGACTATTATTACATCATTTATTTATAAATTTAATAGAAACGTTTTGTTTTTTATAATAGTTTTATCCGCATAATCAATTGAAGAGTGTTTTTTCTACCTCTATTATTGATTACTAGTTCAAACACTTGACTAATCATATTTTATCAGTAAATCTTCAAACACTTAGTATAATCGCGTATCTTCTCATAATAATTATAGAGTCTATTAAAAAGTGTACAATTTATTTTTGATTGTTTTTTTTTTTAAATTTATGTCAGTAAAATTTATTTTTAGACAATTATTAAATTGAATATCAATAAAAGATGCTATTAAATAAGTCGCTACTTGCTCAAATGTTTAGATTTTTGCTTTAATTTTCTCAGATTTAAATCTTTTTGTTTTTCTAATTTTCTTAGTAATCAATCAAATGCTGTAATTATGCGAGCAACTAATGAAAATAGTGCAGCATTGGGTTTTTCACGGCCAACAACGGATCGTAGTGTACGTGATCGGATATCATCATCATTAAATGTTTATCCTCAACAATATCAACAAATAAATTCTCCAACAGTATCAAAACCAACAACAACATGTGGACATCATGGTGCTGGTCAGGAACTTTGTTATTTATGTCATCAACGTGCTAAACGTAATATACCTATTTATTTACATGAAGAAAAACGTATTCGTGAAGCTGAAGAAGCAAAATTACTTGAACAATATCAACATGATCGAGATCTTGATGAACAAAATAAACGAGAAGTATATTTAAAAAGAAGAAGAAAAAAATTATGATTAAAATAAATTTTATTTTTAGATGGCTATGAAAGTTGATCGCGAGGAAAAACAAAGAATAGCTGCTGTAAGTACTTAACAGAAGAAAGGTTTTTCGTTTTCTCACAAAGAATTACTGGATTATGAATTATCAATCATGCTGATTTAAAATATAACCATGTTTTGGATTTACTCACAAAGAAAGACTTTCAACTGTTCAATCGCTTTCAAATCGAAACAATACGCATTATATAGATCCAAATGAGCTATAAATAAATACCTTAAGCACAGTTTATATCCTTAGTTTATGGCTATGGACATGCTGCACTCTTATGGTATTTGTTAAATAAATGCCGTTGAGTAGAGAAACCGATTTTCGAATTTCGACTTGAAACTTTCACAAGAAACTACTCTCATTAAGGTCTGTTTTTGTGCAAAGCTCAAGTCAAAATTAAAAAAACTGCAACATCTTCGTAGCAACAAACTATGAACACAAACTCTTTTCAGGAAATTTGTGAACTTCCTTCTTCAGACTATAGAGCATCGAAGTAATGTAATATACTCTACAATCTGAACAGAACAATTTGTTTTTGACGAAAAATTTGATCTTTTTTAAAACTAGCATATAAAAACTTAAGGAGATTTCTCATAGAATCAGCATGATTGAACGCTCACAATCTAATCATTTTCGGCAAGAACATGATTAATCAGTTGAAAATATTCTCTCGTAAGATTTATGTTAATAGAAGAAGAATTGAAATCTATTTTAGTATAATCTGGGTATTGCTGAAGCAACACGAGCAAAGAAAATGGAACGACCAAAAACGAGTGATGTTCCGGTAAATGTTTAAATTCAACTTGAAAAGAGAATTAAATATTTCTTATTAGCGTTCATTCGTATTTCGAAAACGTATTCAAACTCCTCCAACATATGTTCGTCAACAAGATTTAGCTAAACAATTAGACGCACAAATAAAATGGAAACACGATGAAGAACATGCTGAAAAACAAGATAAAAATTTTCTTGAACGTTTAGAACAAATACAATTAGCTGAAGCGTATGTTCGAAAAACAAAAAACAAAATTCTTTTTTATTGTTACTTTTTCAGATTGGCACAAGAACGAGAAGCATATTTGAGAAATAAACGTCTTCATCAAGAAGAAATGAAAAATGCTTTAGATAATCAAGTAAATTCTTTTTTTTCTTTTCCTTTTTCAACTCGTATTTTTTGTTCAAAAAATAGGTTCGAAATAAACCAAATGGAATTCCTCCTGTTGAAATCGCTACACCTTATTTTGGTGTCAATGATATGTCAACAGATAAATTACAAGAACGTCGTTTACAAGCAATGGAAATCTTTCGACAACAAAAAGAAGTTGTTGAACAACGTCAACGACAACAATTACTTAAACAAATGCGTGAACAAGAATATGAATCACGAGCATTGGATGCTATGAAAGAAGAGTATATTTCATTTATTTTTATTTACGTTTTCTTCAATTATCACATGTCTTATTTTCGTTTAGCTTTTTAGCTGATCGTCGTGAAAGATTTCGTCGTACATATACAATACGTAAAGATCTTGAAACAGATTGGTCAAATTCTTTGGATGTAAAACGTAAACGTGATCAAGATGAAAGAGAACATGTATATGCACCACAAGGTGTTCTTGTACATGAACAATGTGATCAATATAAACGTTGTGCTCAATGTCAACGTAATATAAATAATTGTGGTACTTCAAATATATGGAAGGATACACGATATATACCTGGAACACGTATCATGGTTTAAAGAAATGCATTCGAACAATTTTTATTTTATTTTATTTTTTAATTTCAAAGAAACTTATTTAGAAAATAATTTATCCGGTTATCCTAATTAACAAAAGAAATTTGAACATTTTGTTATTTTAAAATGGGATATTTTTATGTACTTTTCTTCTTCTTCTTCTTCTTCTTCTTCTTCATTCTGGTAAATAAAATGACATTAAAAAAATTTCGAGAATATAATTATTATATGCATTATAGAAGAGTCAATATGAGTTATGTTGAACTTTTTTTCTTTCGTTCTGAATTTTATTATCATAATAAAATCAACAGCAATGATTTTTTATGCATATATACATATGTCATCTGCGTATGAAATATGTGCATATCTGCACGCTTTTATTCGTACATTACACCTCACCTTTCATTCTTACGTAAATTCAATACATTCAGAAGAAAAAAAGGCAGGCGATAATGGATCAACCGAAGTTTAATTGAACATTCGATATAAACATCAACCGAGCATGCAACAAGTATTTGATATATTTTGTATAAAAGGATAAATGACAATAATATTTTGAACGAATAAAGGCAAGAAACAACTGAATAGGTATTCAACATATTGTATGTTGTCTCGATTTTTATTCAGGTTGTCTCGAGATAGGAGCAGACATGCGACGGCACTATTTCGTTATGAAAAAAAAAATCAGCCTTGACCTTGACACGATAGAGTGTAAGACAAATCGTTCATGCTCGACCAATTAATACATTATTGAAGGTATGAGGAGGAGAAAAGAAAAAGGAAAACGTGAACGTTAGTATTTGGAAGTACATAAGAAAAAAAAATGAGAAGCGAGAAGGGCACAAGCTCATTTGATTGTACATAGGCATGTCTTCTCTTTTGAGCATCATTATATAACGAAGAGAGACCTAGTATCAAATTATGAGAGTTGCTTTTGCTTTTCGTCCATTTCCAGCTAACTGCAAACCGTCATGTGATGCTAGTAAGAATATTCAATTTATCCAAATCAACTTTAAACAACAATAAATTTCGACGATTTATTTTATTTCAGCTTTACCTGCTACACCTATTTCAACTTATCCCTTACGAACGTCTTCATCAATTCCATTCACTCACACACAACGACGACAATCAACTATAATACATGTCAATGGTCTTCCGTATATAGTTATTCGTTTAATCGGTGAAGGACTTCATAGTCGAGTTTATGCAGCATATGATCCTCGAATAAATCAATCCGTAGCAATAAAAGTAGTTCAAAATATTGATCCAATTGATAGTCATGAACATTCGAAAATGTTTTTCAAAGAAATACGTTATTTAACAAAATTGCAATCACGTAATCCATATGTTATTCGAGTTTATAATCATGAATATGATAGTAAAACACAAACGGGTAAAATTGTTATGGAAACTGGACATGATTTTCGTTTTATGTTACCATTACAAGCATCACCAAAAGAAAAAAAAATGACAATAGCACAAACGAAATTTTATTGGTCTCAAATGGTTGAAGCTGTTGCAATACTTCATCGAAATGGAATCGTTCATTCAGGTAGAAGATATAATTAGAATTCTATCATTGTTATACAATCTTTTGTAGATATCAAACCAGAAAATTTCATTTTGACACCTGGCGGACAGCTTCGTATTATTGATTTAGGTCTTTCTTTTCGTATGTCAAAAACAGAAACATCAGTCTTAAGACCATTTGCAGGTGGAAATATTTGAATTTTCTCTTTATATTTTTAAATTATAATAAACTATTAAAGGTACACCTGAATATATGCCACCAGAAGTATGTCAGATTCAAGATGGTCATTATTCTCGTCAAGGTCGATCATCAGATATTTGGGCATTAGGTTAGTTTTTATTTTACTTAAAAAAGTATTCTGCTTTATTTCTATTGTAGGTGTTCTTCTTTTTGAAATGGTCTTTGGCTATCGACCATTTGAGCATGTTCACGATAATTTTGATAAAATGTCTCATATTGCTCAATTAGTAGAAAATCCAGTCATTCCACCAATAAATAATCCTCATCTACGTGATATTCTTCAACAATGTTTACAAATAAATCTAGAACAACGTCCTAGTGCTCAAAAAATTTTACAACATCCTTTTTTTAACTTTGGAACTAATTTATAAAATGAATTAATTAAATCCTGTTACATTATTGTTCTCTTTTTTGCTTACTTTGTATTTAATAGATTAATGTCTATCATAATTAGAAATTTTTCTATGCCTTTTCGAATATATTACAGTTTACTTTATCATCTATAACGAGCTGTACATAGAGACCTGCGGGGAAAACTTTTCTATGTCCCGAATCCCGTTTGTCCCGTCCCGAATTTTTTTAAATAGTCCCGAATCCCGTTTGTCTTGTCCCGAAATTTTTTGAATAGTCCCGGATCCCGTTTGTTCCGTCCCGAATTTTTTCAAATTATCCCGAAAAATCCCGTTTATTCCGCACACGGAAAAAAAATAAAGATATGGTTTTGTTCAATAGCAGTACGCGTCTTCTATATACACTCAATCGAAACAATTTATTCATATCTATGATTATGAGATGATTCATGAATTTCTGATAAGTATTATTGACTATACAATGTCGATCAGAAAAAAAGTTCAGATACGGATAAAATTTAAAGTTTGCTATAGATCGACCNTTGGAAATCCTGAGGGGGAGTACGGACACCTTCACGAAGCTACTTCAAGCCCCGCGGTCATCAATTTTAATAGTAAACGAAAACTTTGCAATCGCTCTTTTTCGAAAGTTTTTTTAATATTGAGGAACGAGAAAGAAGAGCCGTGGCTCACGGTCACGGGCTGAGCTCACTGTGACCGTGACCAAAAAAGTTGGTCACGTCGGGGTCTAGTGACGAGTAACATGAGAGAAGAAGAAATAATGTCATTCATTCATTGTCTATTTACATCATTGTTTTTATTGACGATATCGGTCAAATAGAACGAGTGATTATAAATATACACGTACAATTATTGATATTTATAACGTAAGAAAAGTATCTATACATAAAGATCAACATGGAATATTCATCTGCTCAATTGAATGATTTACCTGATGAAATTCTTTGTATTATTTTCAAAAAGTTAAACGAACTTGATGTACTGTACTCTTTCATAGGTGTTAATAAACGATTTAATAAAATTGTACATGATTCAATTTTTACTAGTAGCTTAACATTATTCAATTATTTGCCGTGTGATTGTATTTATCCATTACCTGATTTAATGCTTGATCGATTTTGTTTACAAATCTTACCTAAAATTCATCATAAAATAAAATGGCTTGATCTTGAACCATTGTCTATGAAACGTATTCTTTCTGCAAATTATCCGAATTTATTTGGACTTGGTATATATAACATTGAAATACAGACGGCTTCAAATCTATTCACCGGTAAAATATTTTTATTTCGATTCTTTTATTAATTAATACGTTAAAATGAATGACATTTCGACTGATTTATTTTAAATAGTTTTGTTTATACAGTTAGATATCTACAGATTTGATTATATCGTAAAACAATTTATCTTTTCTTTATACAAAGACAAGAAAGATGATTAAAACAATAAATACTATGACTTGATCATCAGTTATTTTTATAATAATTTTCTATTTATATTTAGACGAAACTTCTTTAATGCATAGATTCAAAAATCAAATCTTATCAGTCGTGATTGAAACTATTGGCATACAAGGTAGATCAATAAATTTGGATACGCTTATATTCACACATATTTTTAATATGTTCACCAACTTACAATATTTAAATTACTATCCATCTTTTCTTTGTTATCAACGAGTATCATTTCGGTCTTCACCTCCAACTGTGTTCTCTTCAACTTTATTAGAATTGCGTGTCAAAGTATTGTATGTTGCAGATTGTCTTTATTTACTTGATGGTCGTTTCAATCAACTTCAGACATTCTATGTTTATATAGAATGTCCATATTTTCATTACACCTTAACAATAAATAAAGTATGTTTTTATTAAACGTCATCAATATCTATTTTATCTTTTTTTAGGAAAAACTACCAAACTTACGACGTTTTTCGTTGTATTGTCTTTCGAGGGCATATTTCTATGATGCAGTAATCATACCACTTTTACATCGAATGCCAAATTTAGAACAACTTAGTTTGTATTTTTCCCTCGGTCGTCATAATAGATTTATTGATGGAAATGATTTAAAACAAAATATTATTGATTGTTTGCCACGATTAATTGAGTTTCGATTTAATATTCGTTCAACTATATTCCTAAAAGATCAAATTGATTTACCATCAAATAAAGATATCGAACATTCATTCAAAAATTTTTCAGATAATCAAATTATTTCTTGTGTCAATTATTTTCTAGAAATGAACGAAGGCGAATGTCATATTTATTCATATCCATACACAATAACATGTTATCATAATATCGCAAATAATTTTGCAGGTGGACTATTTACATGTGTTCGTGAAGTATCATTATTTGATGAACATCCTTTTGAACATGAATTCTTTATTCGAATTGCTCAATCATTTCCATTTATGACAAGTTTAGCTATAATTAATCGAAAAGCACAAAACGATAAACAATGTGAAAAATTAAAAAATAACAATCAAGATTTATTAATTATTGAATATCCTCATCTTAAATACCTTTATATGAAAGAGGCTCATGATGATTATGTCGAACAATTTCTACTTGATACCAAAACGCGTTTACCATATGACGTTAATCTGTATATCGATTTTAAACCTTTAAAAAGAGTAACATACAATTTTACACGAAACACAACACGGATTAATTGTGGAAAAGTGAGATATACATGTTCAAACAGAAATTTTCGATTTCCAAAACATTTCAGAGATTATTTTCTTAATATTCATGTATTATGATTGTTTTCATTTCTTAATTCAATAAATTTGAATCTGTATAGAATGGATGCATTTCACTTAGAAGCAAATTGTTATTTTATATTTTATTGAAATATCTAAAATCGATGTATATTTATGAAAATGATCACATAATAATATGAGATTTATGAAAAAAAGTTGTCTTACAAAAGAGAAAAAATCTATTTTAACTAATATCCATTTCAAAATAGAAGAGCAGTGGGTATTTTTCGAATAACTTTTCATAGAAACAAGATAGAGTGGTGCGGTTTTCACCATTAGAAAGAGAAAANCAGATCGACCCAACACTTACTCCTCCCCGAAATCCAGATCGACCCAACACTTACTCCTCCCCGAAATCCACATTGTTCCTTAATTCACATCCACTCCACTCCCACACCCACGTATTCGCACCCATCCTACACACCCACACCCACACCCACACCCACACCCACACCCACACCCACACCCACACCCACACCCACACCCACACAGACACCCACACCCACACCCACACCCACCCACACCCACACCCTAGAACTCTGAAAGCCTACTAGAAGGAGAACAACTGAACTTCACCTTATGAGAGTAAGATTCCCTAGCAAAACTACGGACTATACAACTTTTAACGACATTAATAGAACAGCTATAACCGTTTCACGCCTTGACGGAATGTTTAAAGCTGTTCTACTAATGTCGTGAAAAGTTGTATAGTTCGCAGTTTCTCTAGGGAGTCTCACTCTCATAAAGTGAAGTTCAGTTTTTCTCTTTCTAGTAAGTTTTCAGATTTCTAAACTACGGGTTCTACATACTTTCATACATCAACAGAATATGGACTGCTATCCTATGTGAGAGTACTGCCCGAATGGTTGTCAGAAGACCACTATCAAACAGGAAAGCGATGAGTATGGGGTGTGAGTGTGGGCTGTGGTGGATGAGAGTTTGTGGGTAGTGTGGATCTGAATGGGTGAATGCGGGTGTGTGGCTGGTGTAGGTTGGTGTATGGATGTGTAGGATGGGTGCGAATACGTGGGTGTGGGAGTGGAGTGGATGTGAATTAAGGAACAATGTGGATTTCGGGGAGGAGTAAGTGTTGGGTCGATCTGGATTTCGGGGAGGAGTAAGTGTTGGGTCGATCTGGATTTCGGGTGAGTGTGGAGTCTGGAGGTGGGTGTGGATGCGAATATGGGGTGGATGTGAAATGGATGTGGGTTTGGAGTGCGTGTGGGATGAATGTGAATTTGGGGTGGGTGTGAAGTGGATGTGAATTTAGGGTGGCTGTGAAGAGGATGTGGATTTGGGATGCGTGTGAAGTGGATGTGGGTTTGAAGTGGGTGCGGAGTAGATGTGAATGTGGGGTGGGCCTAAAGTGGATATGAATTTGAGGTAGGTATGGAGTGGATGTGGATTTGGAAAGGGGTTGAAGTGAATGTGGGTTTCGCGTAGGCGTGCGGTGGATATGAATTTGGGGTGGAGCGGGTGTGAGATGGATATGGTTTCGGGTGTGGGTAGGTGGGTGGATGTGGATTTGAGATGGGTGTGAGGTGCACATGGATTTGGGGTGCGTGTGAACTTCGGGTGTAGATATCGAGTAAATGTGGATTTTGTGTGGATGTGGGTTTCGAGTTCGCATTGGTATGGGGTAGATGTTGGATTCCAGGTGGGTCTGACGTACATATGGATTTGGGTGTTGGTGTGTGTAACAAATTATAAATGATGGTTGATGTATTTATTTAAGTTGTTACTGCTGCAGCTTTTATTTTTATTTGTGATCACAAAGAGAAACTGGAAGAGAATAGTGTTACTGCTATTCTTCGTGTATATGATGTTAACGTTATACACTTTTCCAACTCTACATCGTTCCAGTTATATTCCAGTTCTACCATTATATACAATGAACGCGCCTTATATACGCACACACGAGAGAGAGAGAAGAACAGAAAAAGATACGATAGGCATAATCGCATTGCACTAATTACCTTTAAAGATGTAATCGTGTTACGCAAACATATACGGATAATCTTAAGAAGAAAACCAGAAAGATTGATGATAGTAGTAGATTATACAGCACTGATTGAAAAGAACATATTGTATAACACACATCAGAAAGTATTCCTCCTTTTTGTATTACAACAAGAGAGGATAATCAAAAGAACGGAAACGCAAATATGTGAACAAGAAAGGATGTCCAAGCATTATTGGCACAGTGTGAACTGTCGGTGTAGGCGTTGAGTAAATGCGAATTTTGGGTAGATGTGGATTTTGAGTTCGTGTGGCTGTGGGATGGATGTGAATATGGGGTGGGTGTAAGTGTGGGACGGATTGGAATTTCGGAGAAGTGTGAACTTGGGCTGTACAGTAGGTATGAGCTTTGAGTGTAGGATGGGTATGGCCTTAGAGCGTAGGATGAGTGCGGGCTTGAGATGTGGGATGGGTGTGGACTTGAGATGTACAGCGGCTGTGGTGTTGGAGTGTAGAATGAGTGTGGACCTGAGATGTGGGATGGGTATGGTCTTGGAGTGTAGAATGGGTTTGAACTTGAGATGTATAGCGGCTGTGGGCTTGGCGTGTAGAGTAGGTGTTGGCTCGCGGTGTAGCGTGGGTATAGTCTCCACGTGTAAGCTAGGTCTAAGCTTCGGGTGTACGATGGGTATCGATGTGGGTTAGCTGCGGGCTCGACGTTTATAGTGGGTGTGCGCTTGGGATATAGGGCGGGTATGGGTGTAGGATGGGTATGGATATAGGGTGGGTATGAGTATAGGGTGAGGTTTAGCGTCTGGGTATAGGCGTGCTTTTTCATTTCAACCAAACCAACAACTGAATTCAGACGTACGGGAGACAATTTACCGATATATATCTGAAATAGAACGGCTTACTACTCTAGCACAAGTTACACATAAAACTCGAAACCGTAAAAACTCTAGGAAAACAGCCACGGAATGAAAAAAACAATAACAGCTGGCTTTATATTTTTCAAAGTACTTCAAGAAAAAGCAAAAGGTAGCCCCAGTCGAAATCTCCTACCGCTAGCAAGCTACTAACGTCGATAACAGGAAAATCCACTACACCGAACTCGCAACAGGCAGATTCTGGAGAGCAGTACTTTAAACGTGGTCAGCAATCATATGCGTCCCCGATATATATTCATTAAATTTAATCGTATTTCAGCCACATTTTTTCAATTAACTTAGACTACAAGCTATCCTCAGCATTATCATACTTACAAGATCCCAATCGCATTCACGCCGAAGAGAAGAATATCTTTCCTAAACATATACGCAGCACGGACCCAACAAAACGGATTGAGCAGCTGTCATTTTTTGGGTGCCTTTCATCCATACTAACGTGCTTCTAATCTAACGTAGGATCTAAATACATGCCTGACCTCGAACCTCAAAAGGAAAACCAGAATGACCGATGATGATATCCACAACTTAATCGGCTCAAAAGTCACCCCAGCTATTTGAAATGGCTGAATTCCTATCACTCTCAGGATAGCAGTGACTCTACTTCAGGGTGAACCTAGGTTTATAGAAGGCACTTTATCGAGTGAGTGGTACATGTTGGGATCTCTTCACTCCTTTTAGGGGGCAAAACAGAATATCACTACCAGCCCAGGACTGATTTTCTACAAAATTACTTCCAATCTACATTGATCAATTTCTAATCACCCCTAACATCTCTACTTATATAAACATTACTGGCTCAAAACAAAAACGTGAATGAGAAGCGATCCTATGAAGAATTCCATTGATCGAAATTGACCAATCATATTTCAGGGAGTTTTTTCTCTCTTATTGTAAGAACAAGGAAAGGACATGTTCGGACCAAACCTGGGGTTATCGAGGATGCTCTATCGAATAAGAGGTATATGTTGGGGTCTCTGCAGTACTGATTAGGGCATATAGATTATCTCTTCTAACCAAGGGCTCACTTTCTATAAAACATACTTATAATCTATATTAATCATTTTCTAATCACTCATAACATCTCTACTTCCCATGTAATAGCAAAAGTGAAAAAAATCAACTTATAAGTACTTTCATTATGAATAGAGTAAAATAAAGTACTTTTTCGTACTATTTTCACTTTTTATAGTGATTTTTTGCACTTTTCTTACTTTGTAAAGTATTTTAAAGTACTATTTTTGATGAAGTGAGGAATATTAATTTTTTATATTTCCTAAAGTACTTTATGGTACTTCTGAGTTGGAAAAAACATTGAGAAATACTTTGGAAACTTTCTATAGTACTTTATATTACTTTTAAGTTGGAGAAAGTATTGAAAAAGACTTTGAAAACTTTCTAAAGTAATTTTAAGTAATTGTTTTTTTCTGGCTAGTGAATGATATTAATGGTTTTAATTTCTGATTTACTTTTTAGTACTTCTGACATATTAAGAAGTAATTTTTAATACTTCTGATTTTTGGAAATGCTAAATAGTAGTTTATTCAGTCACCAAGTCTATAATATTATTTGTGTACTTTTCGTTTTCTAAATAGCAGCCTTAGTTACTTTGGATACTTTATGAAGTACTTGTTAGTACTTATTTTTAGATTTCAAGTTTAGTATATAGATTTTGACATTTTCTGAAGTACTTTATAATACCTAATATATTTTCAAACTAATAATAATTACTTTTGATACCCCTTGAAGTATGTTTTAGTATTATGTCCAATCTTATGATATAATAAACATATATTATGCTTTTCAAAGTAATTCGAGATACTTTCTTCAATCATGAGATTCAGTATACTCATTTTAATATTTTTTAAGCACTATATTATGCATTTTCATTTCTAACAGCTGGAAAAAAGTAATTTCAATGTATTGAAAAGCAATCAGAGTTAACATTAAGGAATACTCAAGTACATTTGATTTATTACTATGATTCTTTCTTTAATTTTTTCAACTTGTAGTTTCGAAGAATTTATCATAAGTACTTTCATACTCATAAGCATGCCTTGTAATAATTTTCGAGCGATAAAGCATAGTGTATAGAAT